GAAAGAGGCTCAGGCGCCCTCTCCAGGCATGCCTCTGCCGCTTGTGCTATCTGCAAGGTCAGGTTTTCTGCCTGAGGGTATATTACTCCCGTAGCAGTAAAAGAAGCTGTTCATTCTCTACGCGGCTGTCACCCCACTCCTCAACTATAAGATGGTAGACAGCAGAATCCCCGAGGGGTCTATGCCACTCACTAGAATTCTCAGGAGAGCACTAGCACATAGAACTTCACCAGCAGGAAAAGAAGAAGCAAGCGCTCACTACATTAATTCCCTCCTTCTAAGACCATCTTCAGGAGTACAGGAAACAGAAGGCAGGGCCACCCTGTGCTGTCCAAGAGTTCACCTTCTGTCTTTCTAGCCTACTTAGAAGGACCGAGCCCCTCCAGTCCGTGGGTGCAGACAAGCACTAAAGGTTGATCAAATACCGATGCACAATTCAAACATTTGCTTTCCAGACGCCTTCAGAAAGTTTATCATACACAAACAAGCACAGGAGAGCCAAGAAGGGTTCAAGTTCAAGCCAATTCGTTTGCCCAGTGGCCCCAGAGAACATGAGCATCACACTAAGCTGCCTGCAGAGGCCCGGGGTGGGAGTGGGGCGGCTCCCTGTGGCAGTGGAGAGTGTTTGGAGGCTGGAGAGTGGATAGGCCGTGAAAGACACAGTTGTTAAGTGTAACTAGTCATCAAAGGTCAGGATCCCAAGAGGGCATGAGAACAGCACGCGTGGGGAAGGGAAGTCGGGGGAGCTCATTATGTAGAGCAGCAGTTCTCAAGCTTCCTAAGGCTGCCACCCTTTAATACTGCTCCTCGTGTTGTGACTGCCTGTAAAGGGAAGCCTTCCCGCCAGCCTGGTTCCAGAGCCACATCAGTCCCAAATAAACACAGGAGGCTATATTAATTATGAAGCTGTTGGCCTTGCTTGTTTCTTACTGGTTAGCTCTGACTTAAGTATTTATCCCGTAATTGCTAATCTAAGTATGTCTCTTACCGGAGAAGTTTCCGAGCTTCCTAACCCATGGCGTTACATCTCGACTCCTGTGTTTCTTCTGTGTTTCTCCTACCCAGAGTCTTCCTGGACTCCTAGTCCCACCTATCTTGGTTCCCTATGGGCCAACAGTGCTTTATTGACATATACACAGGATTTCCTCCATCAACTGCCAACCATAAAAGCATTTTCGTTGCTACTTCATAACTGTAATTTTGCCAGTTAGTTCTTATATTTTTGGTTGTGAGTCTAGCCTTTAACGGCTGAGCCATCTCTCCAATCCCCACCCTCCCTTTTAAAGATCCGTTTATTTATTTATTATGTATATAGTGTTCTGCCTGCATGTCAGAAGAGGGCACCAAATCTCGTTAAAGATGGTTGCGAACCACTGTGTGGTTGCTGGGAATTGAACTCAGGGTCTCTGGAAGAGCAATCAGTGATCTTAAACTCTGAACCACCTTCTTAAGACCTTAAGAGACATGTATTATCTAATGGCCACGAACCACATGTTGACAACCGCTGGTGTATAATGTCCATGGACAGCTATTGGCACATCGTGACCAAACACAGCAGTTTAGGAAAACTTCAAAGGAGCTGGCCATCAGTAATTCCTCCTGAGATTGGAAAAGACAGTCTAGATTTCAGTTTCTTTTTGTTTTGTTTGTATTTTTTTTTTTTGAGACAGGTTTTCTCTGTGTAGCTCTGACTGTCCTCGAACTCACTTTTTTTTTTTTTTTTTTTTTTTGGTTTTTACGAGACAGGGTTTCTCTGTATTGTTTTGGAGGCTATCGGTCCAGCCCGGCCTCGAACTCACAGAGATCTGCCTGCCTCTGCCTCCCGAGTGCTGGGATTAAAGGCTTGCGCCATCGAACTCACTTTGTAGACCAGGCTGGCATTGAACTCACAGATCCATCTGCCTCTGCCTCCTGAGTGTTGGGATTAAAGGTGTGTGCCTGGTGTTCAGTTTCTGTTTTTCAGTAGTAGAGGAAGAAATCAGTCTCGCATTTAACAGTCTTGGGCAGAGAAATTAGGCAAAAGCAACTGGGCAGTCACTCCTCCAAATCTCCCTGGCCCTAGGACGAGGGGTCAGGCCCCGTCCACATTCCCTGGTCCTAGACAAACCATGACAAATATGCACCAGGAACCTGCTGAGTCTGGGCACCGAGTTAGGTATTGGACACACAAAGGGACAAATTAGTCCTGCCACCTGGGCCCATGATCTGCTGAGAGGACAGACAGATAGACAGACAGACAGACAGACAGACAGACAGACAGACAGACAGACAGAGTTTTGATGGCACTGGGATAAATGCCAGGAACTCAGGAGCAAGTCCCTGAAGTTCTCAGAGCTTGGAGTATGCTGGCGGAAATGAACACCACACCATAGGCACAGAAGGCAGGAGGACCATGGTCTGGGACTTACATGAACAAATGGGATCTGAGGCCAGGGCTCAGGATGTAGTGAACCCTTTTGAGCCAAGGACCTGCTCAAAGATGCCCAAACCACTCTTTCTCAAAGCTATGTGCAGACACGTGCACATGTGCACAGGAACACATGTGCAAGTGTGTAATGACAAAACAGAAGAAAAACTCCCCATCAATGGTTAAAACTCTAACAGTTCCACTGGGTACAGTGCCACACGCCGGCAAGCGTGACACTCAGGGAACAGAGAGACAAATAAGCCAGGCCACTCTATTACCTCCTTCATTGCTGTGACAAAGGCAGCTCAAGGTACGTAGTGTTCTAACATGGCCCAGGGCAACTGTGTCTCCATCACCTTGGGGAAGGCAAGGCAGCATCGGCAGTCACACAGCAGAGAGGCGTGCTGGTGTGCAGGCGTGCAGCTGGCTTGTCTCCTTTTAATTCAGACCAGGAACCCAGCCCATGGGATAGTGCCGTCCACATTCATGTTGGGCTAAACCTTTCTGGAAACACCCTAAATAGCACACCCAGAGGTGTGTTTCCATGGTGATTCTAAATCCAGTCAACTACCACTACACAGCAAGATCCCATCTTTAAAAGAGGAAAACAAAGAGCCAGTAAGATGGCTCAGAAGGCAAAGGGCTGCCACCAAGGCTGACAAACTGAATTCAACACCTACAACTCACAAGGTGGGAGAAGACTGGTTCCCGAGAGCTGTCCTTGAAATAAAAACTGCTTAAAAGAATAAAGGGCTGGAGAGATGGCTCAGTGGGTAAGAGCACTGACTACTCTTCCAGAGGTCCTGAGTTTAATTCCCAGGACCCACATGGCAGCTCACAACTGTCTGTAACTCCAATTCCAGGGGACCTGACACCCTCACACACACATACATGCAGGCAAAACACCAGTGCACATGAAATGAAATAAATTTTTAAAAAGGAGAACAAAAAGACAAAGAAATCCTACCAGTTTACTATGTTCTTGGCATCAAAGCAAGCAAAGAGGGCCCTGTAGTTACAACAAACAGGTCAGTCACCAGAAAGACAGAACAGGTTGCTAAAGACAGTTTAGCCAAAGTTAGGCATGGTGGAACATGCCTTTAATCCCAGCACTTGGGAGGCAGAGGCAGGCAGATCACTGTGAGTTCGAGACCAGCCTGGTCTACCGAGTGAGTTCCAGGACAGCCTCCAAAGCCACAGAGAAACCCTGCCTCGAAAAAAAAAAAAAAAAAAAAAAAAAAAAAAAAGAATGAAAACAGACACAAGGGGCATTTCGAAGTAACAGCTTATCTTGAATGAACAACCAAAACCCACCAACATTTAAGATACAACTCACTTAAAATGGAGGGAAAGACCACGCACTAGCATCATGGAAACCATCAGTAGACAGACACAAGTCAGTGGGGAACAGGTTATTTGTATGATGCCAGGGAATTTTATCTCTGTACCAGGAAGTCACCACTCAGCCCACATATTGAACTCCAGCTAAGTGGGCCTTCTAAATGACACACTATCCTCCAAATATTGTAGTCAAAAACCTGCAGCATGAAAACCACCACACTACTAGACCAAACTCTAGACATACAGATAGGTAAATGGTACCATGCCCACAAAAGCAGACACAGTCACAGTTAACATACTTTGCAAAACCATTGACTGGAATTCAAAACCAGTATGAAGAAGAAAAGAAAGGAGGCAGGATTGATCTCTGTAAAAAGAAACCAAATACAATGAACAAACATTAATTAGGTCCTCCTTTAGGAAAAGGAAGTTATAAAAGCATTCTTGGGATAATTGTGAAAATTCAAATAGTTAAACAAGGTAAGTAAATAATATGGAATAATATTTTTGTTGTGGTATGGGGGATTTTGAGATGGGTCTTACTTACCATGTAGTCCAGGTAGGTCTTGAGCTTGAAAATCTTTTGCCTTAGCTTCTGGAACACCCAACACTCTGTGCTTAGTTATTAATTTTTAAACTAGGATAATGGTATCACAATTCTATAGGAAAATACCCCTATTTTGGGGAGATGCATACAAAGATATTTACAGGTGTTGTGATGAACTACAGAATTTACCTTCATAGCAGAGCGAAAGAGTACAGGGATGTTTACAATACTTTTTTATTTTCAAAATGTTTTAGATTTAATTTTGTGTATTAGTACATTACTTGTATGTATGTGCACCATATGCATGCTGATACCCACAGATATCAGAAGAAAATGTCAGATCTCCTGGAATTGGAGACACCATGTGAATGCTAGGAACCAAACCCAGGTCCTCCAAAACACAAGTACTCTTAACAAATGAGCCATCATCTTCCAGCTACAGGACATTGTATGCAAATGCCTTTATATAAAAAAAAGTTCCTAGTAAAAGAAAGGAACATATTAAAATGAAACACATCTGTGTTCGTTTTCATTCTAATATATAGTTAATGTTACTCTGATATATTAAGGCACTAGGTTTGACAACTGCATCATGGTCATGTAAGATGCTGCTTAGGAAGCGTCATGAAGAAACTGTTGGTATCATCTTTGCAAATTTCCTGTAGCTCTAAAATTAGACCAAATAGTTTTTAACATGAACACCCGCACTATGCAAAAATCACACATTTTATTATAACTGAATAACTTTAGGGCTCAAGGCAACAATCAATGACCTTGTACAACTATCTTGCTTGACATAAAAATATTGTATAGCCGGGTGATGGTGTCGCACACCTTTAATCCCAGCACTCAGGAGAGAGAGGCAGGTCAATCTCTGTGAGTTTGAGGCCAGCCTGGTCTACAGAGTGAATTCCAGGACTGCCTCCAAAGCAACACAGAGAAATCCTGTCTCGGGGGAAAAAAAATTACAGTATAGATGGGAAAGTCTCCATGGGACTATATGTCAAAGAAAGTCACAATTGTGTTCAGGGCTTGGACAGCGGTACTGCAGCCAAGCAGGGGCCTTGATTCTTGGAAGACGCAAAGCTGCCCTCTGGGCCACAAGCAGCCACCTCGTTCTTCAGACTCCTCAGCACATCCCTTAGTTCTGTAAGGACATGGGCTGGAGTGCCCACTTGGGTGGCACTGACTTCAAAAGAACTGCAAAAGAAGGAATAAAGCAGTATCATTTGCCATCCTAGTAGCTAGCTTGATCCAAGGCCTAGTCACATCAGGACCAAACCCATCTGTGTAATTCTCCAATGGACTGAAGTGTCCTTATTAGCTCACTAAATCCTGGTGATAACCTTCATCTTACTGAAGGGTAGCATGGAGCAGCTTCCCAACCCCCGTCTCCAAGGAGTCATATAGAAGACCCATGGGTTCCCCCTGAAGATCAGGCTGCCCCTCCCCACCAGGCTCCCCAGTTCCTGACTACCTCCTGGGTGCACCCAGATCCATGCTAACCATGCTCACTCCTCCCTTTGACTTTTTACAGTTCTCACAACTGCGGGGTAAGGACAGGTGGCTATGGGAGAGTCCTTTGGGCCTCTGTCTAAGGTAGGCTGTGGACGATTCCCTTGAAACCAGTGTCACTGGGATCATGGGGTGATGAAGAACACAGGCTGTGGGTCACCTGGACAGCGTGCAGTCTTAGCTCCACCAGGCACCTGGGTGTGACTTTGGGCAAGTTACTTTGTGCCTCGAGCAGCTCATCTAGAAAGTGGAGGTGACCATAATACCAAGGTCACGGCAATGGTAAAGAGCTGACGGCAGAGCTGGAAGATGGTCCAGCCGTTAAGAGCACTGGCTGCTCCTGCAGAGAAGCCAGGTCCAATCTCTATCACCCACATGGTGCCCCACAACCACCTGTAACTAACGTTCCCGAGGATCCAATGCCCGCTTCTGACTTCCTCAAGCACCGGGCACACATGTACACACATGGACACACAACACTCACACACATAAAATAAAATTTACACAGAAAAAAATTAAAGAAACAAAACAAAACTAGATGGCATATCCGCGTCTGGTACCCAATGGAAGTCTGATGTGCCCTAACAGTCATTTGTCTACTTTGTACCAACATGCTTCTGGCTTCCCTTTTTTATGGGGAGAAGATGTTGTATATACTTTTATACTTTAATTCAGAGAGAGAGAGAGAGAGAGAGAGAGAGAGAGACAGAGACAGAGACAGAGACAGAGAGACAGAGAGAGAATGTACAGCTTAGGAGCTGGATGAAGGATGGGTACTGCTACATCCAGCTCTGTACATGCACTCCAATAATCAAAGTAGGATCTGCCACATGTATGTAGGCTTATATGGAGCTGGACACTGGATCCCGGGCTTCTCACATTCTAAGGTAAGCACTATGCCAACTGACGTACATCCCCAGATGCTTTTCTGCTTTTTAAAAAACGTTCCCCCATTATCAGTTTTGTTGTCTGGGGACTAAAAGAGCCTTCAGAAGCCATGGAGGGCCATCTTAGGGGCAATTAAAAGTCCTTTAAACTTCCCCCAAGGAAGTCCCACCACTCCAACCTGCCAAACAGACATGTGAAACCCAGTCATATTATCTGAAGGCTGGGAGGTAGAGTCACAGACAAAGCGTGTTCCACACCTCCCATCATTTTATAAATGTGTATATCCCAACCACAGCAGCACCTCAGGCCTGCCTTCCTCCCACGAAAGGGAGCCTCCTGTTCCTTTGATTCCAACAGAGTCTACACAGGCGTTTAGAGACTCAAGACCCACAGCTGACTGACAGCATCATGAGAAGACATTCCTTTGGCCTGTCTCTCCTGGTCCATCTGAATAAATCAACAGAGAGTAGTGTTGGTGTGTTATTAGCCTGTTTTGGTTTTTAGTAACCCCCATTTTAGCCAGAAGCAAGCAAGCAAGCTTTAAGTTTTAAGCTTAAGCAACCAAGGCAGACAAGACCATGTAATAGGAATTTAATAACACTGTCGTGTGCATATTTTTCCTATAGTCACCATCCATTTTATAGCAATTAACAATGATCTCCATTTATGAAAGAAACATTTCCCATGTATATGTGAAACTTCAAAAGGAAGAAAGAAAGAGTCATGTGGTGGTGGCGCACGCCTTTAATCCCAGCTCTCGGGAGGCAGAGGCAGGTGGATCTCTGAGTCTGAGGCCAGCCTGGTCTACAAAGTGACTTCCAGGACAACCAGGGCTGCACAGAGAAACCCTGTCTGGAAAAACAAAGCAAGACAAAACCAATAAAAAGGGGAGTTTACATTAATAAAAATGTAACACAGCTTTCTGACGCCCTCACTGGCCCAGAGATGGGCTGCTCACTCTGTTCTCATCAGTACAGCCGATGGTCATGTGAACAATTTAAATTGAATTAAAAAATTTGCCTACTCTTGCCAGATGTGGCGGCACACGCCCTCAATCCCAGAACTTGGGAGGCAAGGCAGGTGGATCTTCCTGAACTACAGAGTGAGTACCGGAACAGTCAGGGCTATGTGAGAGAGACTGTTTCAAAACACAAAAAAGGTTTCATACCCAGTTGCAGCAGCCACATTTACATATTCAACAAGCATGTGGTAAGTGATGCTGTGTTAATAGTGTGGCCACAGAACTTGTCCATCACCACAGAAAGGTCCACTGGGCAGCACTACTGAGAAGGCCACTCAACTCAAGCGCTACTCACCTGGCAACTGCTTCTTCCGAGGCAGTGGTCTTTTGACAGGCATGGCGGAGGGACATCCTGGGGGAGCAGGCCTCTTGGATGGGCCTACCTGAAGCAAGGGAGGGGGAAACAGACCTTTGGGGTTGACCAGTCCTGCGGAGAATGAAAAGCAAAGCGTAAACAGAAGGAACTGAGTGACTTCCCTTCATCTTTAGAAAGAGCCTAAGCGAGGAACAATCTGAACTCACACCAGGCTCCAACTTCTCAGACAGGATAGCTCCTCAGTGGTCCTGTCTAGGGCTAGGCAAACTAGAGACCAGCATCCAATCAGGTCCCTTGTCTGGAGATGGCCTTCAAGCTAAGGATATCTCCCCTGACCCTTAGTTTGTATGATTTGTTTTGTTTTGTGTGTTGTTGGTTTTTTTTTGAGCCAAGATCTGGTTATGTAGTCTAGGCTTGTCTTGGACCAACTGGCCCAGCAGTTTTAATATTTTAAACCACTATTCAAATATACATACAATAACCTGAATTTTGCTTCTTGTTCCCAAATCCTAAATATTTACCAAATAAACCTTCAAACGGAAGTTTGGAAATCCTGTTCTAATCCCAGTTTATCTGAATTCTCTGGTACTCACCCTCCCCTTCCCACAAAGCATTCTTCAAAATAAATAAATAAATAAGCCGAGTGGCGGTGGCGCACGCCTTTAATCCCAGCACTCTGGAGGCAGAGGCAGGCGGGTCTCTGTGAGTTTTGAGGCCAGCCTGGTCTGCAGAGCGAGTTCCAGGACAGCTAGGGCTGTTACAGAGAAACCTTGTCTCGAAAAACCTATAAATAAATAAATATGTTACGTGTGTATGCATATATATGTATGTACTCCGCCACATGGTGGCAGCTCATGCCTTTAATCCCAGCACACGGAGGCAGTGGCAGATGGATCTCTGAATTGAAGGCCAGCACTGGGAGGGGAGGAGGGGGCCATTCCTAACCATAAATTTAACTTGAAAATCAGGTGAAAAGTTTTGGGGGGCTGGAAGATGGTTCAGTGATTAGGAGCCCACTGGCTCTCTTCCAGAGGACCCAGGTTCAAGCCCCAGTACCCACAAGGTGGCTCATAGCCATCTGTTAACTCACTCCCAGAAGACCATACACTCTCTTCCAGATTTCTTGGGCACCAGACATGATGTGATACACAGATATACATGCAAAACACCCATACATATACTTTTAATTTTTTAAAACTTTTTTTAAAAAGAAAAGTCATAGTTTTAATCAAGACCCTAATGGCAAGTTCTTTTTTAATGTGGTAAATTGAAAATGTGCTCTTAGCAACTATTCCTCTCCAAATCAATTCAAGGACCAGGGAAGAATAGGAAAGACGGGAGGTAAGAGGGTTAGGGAGGTCACAGGGTTAGGAAGGTGAGGACCCAGGAGCGCTCTGTGGATAAACTTCCTGCTCTCGGGACAGAAAGGGCTCGGCCACCACCACAGAGGCTCCTCGGGTACACAGAGATTGGTGGTCAAAGTCAGCCAGGCCTGACTGGATGTCTGAACGTATGTGGTTAGACTTCAGTCAGGCCTCCTCCCAGGCGGAAGTGATGGGTCTGAGAACCCTTCCAAGCCAACAGGATCCGATCAGGACTGAGGTTGGCCATGAGAGCTCTCAAGTCTCTAGTGTTAAACTAACCTGAAGCATATCCATTCACACAGAAAAGGAGGACAGTGAGGCTGAAGAGATAGCTCAGTGGTTAAGAGAACTTGTTGCTCTCACAATAGACCCAGAGTTGGTTCCCAGAACACACGTGGTGTCTCAAGGCTGTCAGTAACTCCAGTTCCGGGGGATCTGATGCCTTCTTCTAAAACCTCAGTGGGCACCAGGCATGCACATGGTGCACATTTACACACGCAGGCAAAACACTCACATACAAGTAAAACTGATAAAACTAAAAAAAGGAAAAAGAAAAAAAAAAAGCCAGAGTAAAGAAACTTTACTTTAGAAGACTTCCGGCATTCAAAAATAAAACCCTCAAAAACATTTGAAGCTAGGGTAGGAATTATAAGAACCCAGTTCAAACAGCTCTAGCCCTGGCCATAAAGCTCAGCAGTTTCTGTGTCTCATCCAGGAGGAAATCCAAAGCACATCATCTGGTCCCCAAGGAGAAAGACACGCGAGAGGAGATCTGCTCTGCATGGCAGACGAGCACTGACCTGGTGCTGGGAGCAGGCCAACTTCCTGCCTGTCTCCAACGAGCGGCTTGATAGAGCAGCGCGGAAGAGGAATATCAAGTAAGGGCCGGGGGCCAGAAACTGGCAGCAGAGGAGGAGGCTTGCTCACCGTGGGGGTGATCTGGCCCTGAAACGAGGGAGGCATGCTGCTGGCTGATGGATCCCGAGTCTCGAATCCTGGAAATGTAAAAGGAATCAATGGTTAGCAGAAGCCTGCAGTCCAGGCCAGTGAGCCTTTCGGACTATTCAAGAAAGTTTCACTTCTGCGTGCTTCTTTCCTTTTACTGATTTAGAAGATCCTGTAACAAAAAGAAACAGAGCTGTCATGTTCTATCTTTATAGGTTCCACCCACCCCGAGAAAGTAAGTATAATAATATCTAAAACTAAGCACTCTCTCTCTTGTCAGATGAACGAGTCATTAAAGCTGCGATGCATCCCAGGTGTGCGGCACAGCAGCTACCTTTCCTTGGAAGGGACAAGTGGTTATTATTTTTGTCTCACACACTTCACTCAAACCAAGCTAACCAGAAAGTTACTACTTATTCATTTATTTATTGGCTTTTTTGAGACAGGGTTTCTCCATGTCACCTTAGCTGTACTGGAGCTCACTCTGCAGACCAGGTTGGTCTCAAACTCAGAGATCTACCTGCCTCTGCCTCCCAAGTGCCAGTATTAAATGAGTGTGCCGCCAGGCTCAGCTAGAAACTCATGACTTTTAAAGGTGAGCTCATGAATGAAATGCTCTTTAAAATCCTCAAGACTAGGAACCATACATATCTTCATGCTTACCCCATCCATCAGTGTTGCAAGCATATCAGTGTTAACAAAAAATGAAGCCCAGAGACAGGAGGGAGGAACTGGCATTGCCATGTGCAGACAGAGGTCGTTCTACTTACTACAAATTTGGTTCAACATATGAAAGTAGAAAGGGAAACACCAGGGCTCATGGAAGGGTTTAAATGGGATGGAGGCGAGGGGAAGGAGTAAACAAAACTAAGGATGGAGGTGAGGGAAGGAATAACCAAAACTAAGGATGTATGAAAAAGCTGTCTGGAAACCGATTGCATTGTAAAGCTAACTTAAGGAAAAAAAAAAAAAAAAGAAAGAAAAGGGCTGCCAAGATGACTCATTGGATAAAACACCTGCTGCACAAGCCTGGGTTAATCCCTGGAGCCCACAAAACATGGAAGGAGAGAACCAACTCCACAAAAATTACTTCCACATGCATGCTGTGGCACGCTCATGCTCTCTCTCCACACATCGTGCTCGTGCATATAACAAATAAACTAAAAAGTCTGAATGGATGTACCGTCAATGGTTGGGTAATGCTGCTCTCTAAAGCTACCAGTTATGAAACGGAAGTCCCGATGCTAGGTGTGGGATACCTACCTCCCTATGTGCTATTGGCGAGGGAGCTTCCAGAGGCTCACAAAGGAATATAGGTTCCCTTGGCTGCCTAGCAGTTAAGGTTCTACTGCTGTAGGTACACACTGTTGTATGTTGGAGGATGCAGAGAAATCAAGCTGGTACAGAGCCGGAAGCTTCTCCCTTGATGGCTAGCTTCCACAGAGCTAGAGGCTGGTGGGATAAAGTTATCAACAGTCTTACCCAGTCATGGATCCTGCAAACTGTAACACTGACCAGCCAGGCAAGATGTGCTTACCCATGCCACTAGGGTGGCTTGAAGGTTATAGGGTAACCAATTGCTTGATGATTGGATTTAGGACCTGCTCTACAGGAGGGAATTCATGACTGATACTATAAACCTGGTCAAAAACTCATGGTGCTAGCTGGGAGGGCACAGGCCTTAGGGAAAACCTACTGTTGTTTGACTAAATGGACACATTGTCAAACTGCCTTCTAAATATTTACGTTTATACTCATAGTTAGTGCTGCTCTCAGTCTTACACGGAGAAGCTTTAGTTAATGCAACCACTCAAGACTGGTGAAGGTGGTGAGAATGAGTGAGTGTGGGTGCTCAGCCCTAAATGGGACATCTCTGTATCATTCCTCCCACCCATCATCCCTCAGGCTCGGGTAGTCATGGAGGAAGGGGCAGAAAGAAGGCAAGAGCCACAGGAAGGGAAACGGCGTTGAGTAGCGCTGTCTCCAGAACACGACACGGCTTTTGCACTCACAGATGCATAGTAGATAGATGCGGCTACCCAAACAAGACTGGGCCAGCCAATGCTCTACCATGGATTGAGGAGGGGCTCATGAGGCCCCACACCTCCCTGAGGAGCTACAGGCAGTTAATGGCTGCTGGGGAGGAAGTGAGTCATTTTATTTCAGTAGTGTAGCTACTAGTGAGCTGCTTGTGTTCCAGTAAATAACCCCACACTCATACTTATGCAAGCAACCCTACTCAGACTCAGCAAGGCACAAAACCAGTCATGAAAGCAGCTGGGGGTCTTGCTGAGAGAAAGGTGAGTTCAACAGAACTGAGACAAGGGGATGAGAGGGTAATGAAGTGTACACAATCAAAACTCATTATGTACATGCATGACATCAAAGAGTAAGTCAAAAATTGTATTTTAGGGCCAGCCAGCAATAGCTCCGCCACCAAGCCCGACAACTGGGATTTAACCACTTGGACCCACATGGTAGAGAAAAACCAATTCCCACAAGTTGCGTTCTGATCCACACCTGCACATACATATAACAATAATAAATGCAAAAAGAAATTACCATAACGTCTGATTCAAAAGAAACTCAAAAGAAACATTTTAGTCTATAAAGGTTAGAAACTTAAGAGTGAGATGGGCGTTGATGGTGCACAACTTTAATCCCAGCACTTGGGAGGCAGAGGCAGGTGGATCTCTGTGATTTCAAGACCAGCCTGGTCTACAAGAACTAGTTCCAAGACAGCCTCAAAAGACACACAGAAACCCTGTCTTGAAAAACCAGGCCCCCCCCAAAAAAAACCCATAGTTTTCGTGCACACACGGGTTTATAGAAAAAGGATTCGCCTACTAGAGTCCAGAACTCAGAAGGGAAGGGACGACACCACGCACCTTGCAGTTGCTCTTTCCTGACCGTTAGGTAGTCCATGATCAGGCCCAGCTCGTCACTGTACAAATGCTTCCCCTCACGCAACAGGAAAAGAAGATGACAAATGCTAGACGGAACCGAGTAACTGGCCAGGCGCTCACGGGCCAGGAAGTCATCCACCAGCTCAGTAGCCCTCTGCGAAATCCCAGCGCTTTGTCCAGTGAAAAATCTCTTCAATTCTTTAGTCACCAGAACCAGTGCATCCTCCAGGGGCATATGCCGATGTACTAGAGAGAAGAACAAGCAGCTTTACCATACAGGGGGCCTCTCTCTCTCTCTGTCTCTCTGTCTCTGTTTCTCTATCTCTCTGCCTCTCTCTGTCTCTGTGCCTCTCTCTGTGCCTCTCTCTGTCTCTCTCTGTCTCTGTCTCTCTGCCTCTCTGTCTCTCTCTGCCTCTCTCTGTCTCTATCTCTGTCTCTCTGCCTCTCTGTCTCTCTCTGCCTCTCTCTGTCTCTATCTCTGTCTCTCTGCCTCTCTGTCTCTCTCTGCCTCTCTCTGTCTCTCTGTCTCGCTCTCTATTTTAAAGAGATATTCATAAAATAAGATAACAAGAAAAGACAAGTCAGAAGACGGACAGCCCGCCTGCAAGCTGTATCAGCTGTCTTGGTCTTTGATATGGGTGAGGTTCTGAATAGAATGACTAGTACCCTACACAGCAGGTGCTCTATTTGATTTCAAAATAGACATTTCTTATTGAAAAATTATACAAAGGCTAGGCATAGTGGTGCCTGCTTTTAATTCTAGCTCTTGGGAGACAGAGGACCTTTGTGAGACGCCAGCCTGGTCTACACAGTGAGTTCCAGGACAGCCAAAGTCACATAGAGCAGTGGTCCTCAACTTTCCTCATACTGTGACACTTTAATACAGTTCCTCATGTTGTGGTGACTCCAGCCATAAAATTATTTTCATTGTTACCTCATAACTGCAATTTTGCTATTGTTCATGAATCATAAATATCTGTGTTTTCTGATGGTTTTTAGGCAACCCCTGTGAAAGGGTCATTTGACTCCACAAAGAGACCGTGACCCACAGGTTGTTAAGAACCACTGACATAAGAGACCGTAACCCCCCCAAAATTTTAAACTAAATATATATAAATTATTAGAAGCAACAGCTGTAGGAATACATGGGATAAGTGTCAACAAAATTAACTTTAATTATTTACTTAGTGTCTATGTATGTGTAAGAGTGAGTTAGAAAGAGGGTGCGAGTGTTCAGGAGCACAGGTGCAGAGGAGGCCAGGGGACAACTTTCCAAAGTCGATTCCCCCTCTTCTCCTTTGTGTTGAGGCAGGTCTCACGCCTATCACTGTATACTGCATACTCCAGGCTAGCTGGCCCACAAACTTCCGGGTAATCCTCTCTCTTTACCTCCCGCCTTGCCATAAAAAGTGCTGGGAATAGAGCAAGTACTTTCACCTACTGAGCAATTTCCTGAGCCCAGAAATTCTTAAAGAAAAGAAACCCAGTTTTTTTGTTGTTGTTGTTGTTTTTTGTTTTGTTTTTTTTGTTGTTGTTGTTGGTTTTTTTTTTTTTTTTTTTTTGGTTTTTTGAGACAGGGTTTCTCTGTGGCTTTGGAGGCTGTCCTGGAACTCACTGGGTAGTCCAGGCTGGTCTTGAACTCACAGAGATCCGCCTGCCTCTGCCTCCCGAGTGCTGGGATTAAAGGTGTGTGCCACCAACGCCCGGCTAGAAACCCAGTTTTTAAAAGACCAAATTGTCACATCAAAAATTAGAAATGAAAGTCAAATGTGATACCACATGTCTAATCTCAGCGCTTGAGAGGCAAAGATAAGCTCAACATCATCCTAGTCTACTCAGCAAATCTGTTTGAGACCGTATCTCAAACAAACAAAACTCAGAAACAAGTGGAAGGGACAAGAGGAAATAATGGGGAGTGAACATGGCCAAAGTACATAACAGGCTTGAACAACGTCATTATGAAATCTACCACTTTACAATGACACACACAATAATGGAAGACGAAGACCACAGGACAAGGAATGGAATGCGGAAAGGTGAAGGTGCTCTGCTGGACCATCGCATCAGGATGCAGTACTAAGAGGAAGAGGATACCCAGAAGAGATGGGCAGGGTTAGGCTGGAAAGGACAGCCGTGGAAGCCGAGGGGTTACAGATGATAAGAAACTGCTAGTCTTTGCTACATCCTTAAGAGCCTATTTCTAATCGTGTACCTGACAGGGTTAGCACACAGGGCTTCCAGGTTGGTGCAGCCATGCAAAGAGTAACCCACAACCTCAGTGGTCTTGCAGTCTCTGGCAAGGCCCTGTGGGAATTTAGGTCTAGTCGGGAGTACTTTAGAAGATAAATACTACACACACAAAAAAATATTCTAGACCTAAAAGTAGCTTCCCCATGCCTTCCTGGGTGTAGGCAATACATAGATGTCTTCCAGTCTCTTCCAGGTCTGTCTGGGGAAGATAACCTCATGACAGCTGCCTCTCAGATGGAGTCCTACCCTGAATGGCCTGTCATGTATCACTGTGTTCTGAAAAAACTCCAAGTCAGGGCTCTTCAGAGCTGTAGGGGCCATGATCATATTTGGCTAAATCTTACACTATGTTTATTAAGGTTACATTTATGACTATATTACATGTTAGCCTTCAGGCTTTAAACTTCACCGTGTGGCTAATTTCAAATACTTGGCACAGAGGCCACATACTTATTATAAAGGATCCTGAAAGAGAATAGTTGTGATTGCTTTTACTTTTAGTAAAAACACAGCTCATCAGAGAAAACAAGGCTCTCTTTACTTATGATCTGGATTTAATAATTTAGGGATAACAAATAATGTTCACATTAACACTATTCTGAACATAAAAAATAAATCACCTCTGATTTCAGAACATATTGAAAGTAGATTTAATGCTTTTTGAAATAATGGTGATTTTTTTGTTTTTGTTTTTTCTCTGAGACAGGGTTTCCCTGTATCCTTGACTGTTCTGGAACTCACTCATTAGACCAGGTTGGCCTAAAACTCACAGAGATCTTCCTGCCTCTGCCTCCCAAATGCTGGGATTAAAGGCATGTGCCACCACTGCCTGGAGTAATGATTTTTTAAAAATTAACACTCAACAAATATTCTACCTATTTTGTGATAACTTCCTAAATGATCTTGCATGATGTCAACATTTAAGTAACGAAACATAATTAGTCCTTTTCACAACTGGTTCAAATTAACCTTTTCCCTGGAGAGTGGGATTTGTAATTATTGAAAGAGTGTGTTCTTTACATTTCTAGAACTTATGTGTATAGTAACTGTGATTTTTGCCTCCTAAACTACTGAGTACAGAAAAATCATAATTTTATACTCTCCAGTGTAGTATTGAACAAAAGCTGGACGGTAGGCAAAAGAGATGCCATGGTCCTACTAAAACTGTCCAGCCTTCCCATGTCAGAAACAAGAGCTTATCAGTTTCTCCCTTCAGACTTAATGTGACAGTTGAATTTAGAACATTAACCCTATATTCGCTTCTCTACCAGTTCTCGACGTTAGGGAGAGAAATAAACCCTAGCTACTAGTGTTGCATGGGCTCCGTTCAAGAGAAAGATCTTCTAACTACTGCTGGGACATGTGACCCAGAGTCTGTAGGAGAAGCATGCTCAACTACTACTGCTAACCAGAGCTAAAAATGAAGCCAGGTATACAGAGCCTGGGATACAGGAGACACTTAATGCATCTAGACTGAGCAGAATTGTGTAGGGGCTTCTGAAAGAGGACTAGAAAACTCAGTAGGTCTGGGTGACAGAGAGGCAGGGTATGGAGGAGACTCCCATGAGGCTCTCCCTGTGTCCAGGAAGAAAAATGCCACTTTTAGCCTCCAACTGCAGAGGACAGGGTCGAGCCAGGAACAAGAAGAGCACATTTGACCACAGTGGAGAAGATGAAGGATGTGCTTTGATGTGTGCATCTGCCTAAGCTTGTAAATCAGGGAGCACAGAGGGTATCACTTTTACTGGGCAGTGGTGGTACATGCCTTTAATCCCAGCACTCGGGAGGTAGATCTCTGAATTCAAGGTCAGCCTGCTCTACAGAATGAGTTCTATCCTACTCAAGACTACACAGTGAAACTGTCTCAAAATCAAACAAACAAACAAAAAGGTGTGTGTGTTAATTTTCATGTATTCTAATGAATGCTGTAACAAAGAAATGGATGAGAAAGCACAGAAAAGACATACTTAAAAAAAGAGCCGAGCAGTGGTGGCACACGCCTTTAATCCCAGCACGCGGGAAGCAGAGGCAGGCAGATCTCTGTGAGTTCGAGACCAACCTGGTCTACAAGAGCTAGCTAGTGGGGCTGGAGATGGCTCAGCGGTTAAGAGCACTGACTGCTCTTCCAGAGGTCCTGAGTTCAATTCCCAGCAACCACATGGTGGCTCACAACCACCTTGAATGAGATCTGGTGACCTCTGCTGGCAAGCAGGCAGAAGACTGTATACACAATAAATAAATAAAATATTAAAAAAAAAAAGAGCTAGCTAGTTCTAGGTCAGTCTCCAAAGCCACAGAGAAACCCTGTCTTGAAAAACCAAAAAAACAAACAAAAAAACAAACAAACAAACAAAAAAAAAAACAAAGGGTTTGGGTCAATGGCCCTCAAAGGCCAGAGTGTTAAAGATTTGGTCTCCAGCCACTGTGTTGAGAAGCAGGGTCCAGCAGGACAGAGTCAGGTCACCAGAGTGCACTCTGGAAAGGGACACTGAATCTGGTCCCTAGCTCCTGTCTTTCACGCTTATGGTCCAGGTAAGCAGCTTTCTCTGACACCACTGCTATGACGGACCCAGACTCAGCAGGACCCAGCACCATGGTTCTGTATGAACTCAGATGGAAAACTAAGAAACTGGATCACAAAGCTTCTCTCTTTTTAAGTTGATCATCCCCCCCACACACACACACATACACACACAGTGAGGAAAAGTAGATTAATACAAAGTTTAAGAGAATCCTTGAGACCATCAAGAATATAAAAGCTGGTGGTAAGATCTGGCCAAAGCCTCTACAGATGGCAATCTATTATATAACATCACGGATGGGATATTTTAGGCCCTTTTGTATTTGAGACAGGGTCTACACAGCCCAGACTCCTGGGCTCAAGTGACCCACCCTTCTGCCTCTGCCTCTCAAGTTCTGGGACTAAATGTGGAAGCCCACCATACCTGGCTGTGTGATCCTTACATAGATGCAGTAAAGGTGATTTAGCTTTCAGCTTTCATCGATACACAGAAAAAGTACTTTCTTCCTCAACTAAAAGCAGTTCAGCTGCAAACACGAACCTTCAAAGTATGCCAGCACACAAAGAAAAGGCAGGGTTGTCTCTAAAGACGCTTTTAGGACTGACACTTACTTTTGATGGAGTCATGAAGCATGATTACGGTACAAGAGGAATATTTCACATTAGATTGCTCCACGAGAATACAAAAGGGGGAACCGTCATCTTTAACATCCTGCAGTGCGCGAGTGAGGTCCGATTCCGAGACAAGGTGAATTGTTTCCACTACAAGACCACGATCCTGCAGGCGGCGGCCTATGGCTGTGGCATAATCCCTTAACACGCGCACACACACGCACACATAAGCAGGCACGCACGCACACACACACAAATAAACAAATAAAACACAGGTTACTTTTCATTTTAATAGAAGAAAAGAGTCCACACCACCACCACACATTTAAGCATGCAAACAGTAAGGCAATGTTTTTATTTTATTTATGTTAGTGAAGTAAGTCTTTTCTGAAATTGTAAAATCCTTTATAAGATTGACTATGTATATAATTTAGTAAAGAAAGCAAACCAGGCATGGTGGCACATGCCTTTAATCCCAATACTTGGGAGACAGCAGTAGGAAGATCTCTGTGAATTCAAGGCCAGCCTGGTCTACATATGGAACTACATAGCACAGTTGGGGCTACACCATGAAACCCTGTCCCAAAACAAAAAACAAACCAGACAGTAGAGGCTGCGCTTTGGTTTGGTATACTGAGTACTGTGCTGAGTAAGCATGATGAGTAGCCTTTTTAAAAATGGAAGCATTTGCTAGGTGGTGGCGCACATCTTTAATCCCAGTATGGCAGAGGCAGAGGCAGAGGCAGGTGTATCTCTGGTTCAAGGCCATCCTGGTCTACAGAGTGAGTTCCAGGCGAGCCAGGACTGTTTCACAGAGAGACCTGTCTTGAAAAACAAAAAAACAAGTGAGAAGACTGCTCTGAAGAACAAGACAGTCTTCACCTCAAGCGTCACTTCTATCAAGAGGACTCTTTTCCAGGGAGAGCACGAGTGACACTGGAGTCAGACAGCATTCACCAATCATTAACCGCTTTGGGTCAGAAACCCTGGAGTGATTTCATGTCCTGCTTCCTCAGCCTCCATCCTCAGTCAATCTACCCAAGCCTCTCCCTGAGCTGATGTGGCCATTCTTACCTAGTGATTACCAAAAACCTGCAAAGCCCTTAACTAGCATTCTCAGACCTAGCAAGAAAAAAAAAAACAAAAAAAACCAAAGTAGTAAGAGCCAGTACTTCAACCCATCTAAACAGGCTCTACACACACTAACCTTCAAACACCCGTTCTCTTGCCAAGCTCATTCATCATCCCTCGATGATCGACTCCCCCTTTCCTTCTGCTATCCCTCTGCCTTTCTGTTTCTTGGTCACGTTAGTCCTCAGCGCAGAGGCTCAAAACAAGTGACATTACTCTTTAGCTAATCTCTGAACTATGGTAACCCACTCTTCCTCATATGAATATTCAGCTTCTGGTGGGATAAGCCCTTAGTACATTTGATCTCTCTCTTTTAAGACAATCTCATGTAGTGCAGGCTGGTTTAGAACTCACTGTGCAGCCAAGGATAATCTCAAAATTCTGATACTCCCGTCTCCATTTCCAAGAACCGGGCTTGTGAGAGTGCACTCAGGGAGAACCACTCTTATAACTGAGCTATCCCCTCAGCCCTACATCCGCTCTCCTAGCTGCTGTGTGTGTGTTTTACCCCGTTACACAGCACCTCTCACAAACAGGAGATGTTAGTGAATTATACTTACCTATAGCTTTACATGTAACAAGTCAGCCAAATGCATGTTTCACAGAACTAAAGATTATTAGGGTGACAGGAAAACATGTTTCTGGTCACTTATCAACGTATGGATGATTTCAGAAAATAAACTCAGGAAGAAAACAAAACAGTTCATACAGTTCATGTTTGAAAGTCATCACAGAAAGAACTCACATTAGATGACATGAACTGAAAATTAGTGTTTTGCAGCATAAAGGAATGAATCAACCAACCAAAGTATCACTATAAACATCAAAGTGACAAGAGAGCAAACAGCATGCCTTGCTTACAGGGCACCAGCAGCTGCAGACACAATGCGGCTGACATAACTCTTGGCTGCATCCACTCCAGTGTCCTGATCCATGGCTAACTGCCAGGCCATGGAACGCCAGGCAGGAACTAGGCAACATGTGAGGAGTAGCTTCTAATGCCACTCTAGATGGAGAGGAGGAGAAATGCAGTCTCAGACAGTCTTCACTACAAGACTGCCCTCAATTAGTGCTGGCCGCCCCACTCTGCTGATGGGAAGACAGCCAGAGCATCAGGGTCATGTTTAGTCCAACAAGCAGCTGGAGTCAGCCACAGTTCTAAATGAAATACAAGATGATCCAAGTCAGATATATGATACTTGCTACAAATGCTAAGAAGGCTAACCTAAGGGCTGGGCAGTCGCTCAGGTGGCAGAGAACTGGCCTGGCATGCACGAAGCCCTGAATCTCCAGCACCACATAAATTGGGAGTTTATGCCACATGTTTACAATCCCACTTGGGAGGTGGAGGTACAGGTTCAAGGTCATTTTCCCCTAGATAGCACGTTTGAGGTTAGTGTAAGCTATATAAGACCATGTTTGGATGGTTGGGGGGTGGGGGATGCTGAAGAGATGGCTCAGAGTTTAAGAGCACTGGCTACTCTCCCAGAGGTCCTGAGTTCTATTCCCTGCAACCACATGGTGGCTCACAACCATCTATAATGAGATCTGGTGCCCTCTTTTGATGTGCAGGCAGAACATTATATATACATAATAAAATAAATATTTATAGGGAGAGGGACAAAGAGGAAAGAGGAAAACCAAGCTAGCTAATGTAACCCAGCCATTGAAGCTCAAACTTTTGACAAGTACTTGGGAGATTAAGGCAGGAGGGCTGCCACAAGTTCACAGTTAACCCCGGGGCTACACAGAGACCTTGCCTTTGGGGAGTGAGGGGGGAAACTAATTTAGCCAAAGACTAATGCAGTGACCAGGCCAAAGCAATCTTGTGGCAAAATTGCTAAATGTTGAGGCAGCAAACCTCCTGCACATGCTGAGTCTTCTCCACCTCTAGGCTCAAAATCTGTTTAAATTACTACATGGTCAAATTAATCCAGGGCATTTGTGGACATCTTTCAATTAAAGAGAAACTCATCATTCGACTGTAAAAGGGATGGCCCTCTCCCACGCTGCGAATGACCTCATTTCTTCTCGCATACTGTCTCCCAAGGTCCAACCTGAACACCCTACAGATGAAACAGACTCGTGATTTTGCTTCTGAATGGTGAATAAAAATTCTGAGTTGCTGTAAGATTGCAGATTAAAAAAAGAAAGAATGCAGAAGAGGAGGAGGAAGAGGAAGGCGGCAGCAACGACGGGCCATGACTAATCCCAGCACCTGGGAGGCAGAGGCAGGCAGATCTCTGCCTCCCAGGTTAACCTGGTCAACACAGTAAGTTCCAGGCCAGTGGAGCTATAGAGTCAGACTAAAAAAGAAATGTGAGAAAGCTCAGCACTGTCTTAATAGAGTCATGTTTCACATACGGCTGGAATCATATAGTAGAATTCCGTGCATTGTAGGATCCGTTGCATCATGTGGTGAGTGGTATGCCAAACAGACATAAGCCAGGGGCGCAGCTGGTATCACTCATGAAATCACTGTCATTAAGATAGTGGACAGCACAGCACAGAAAAGTCCCCATGCATGAGATGCACACAGCCTAAAAGGGTGTGTGTGTGTGTGTGTGTGTGTGTGTGTGTGTGTGTCCAAGCAATAAAGAAAATCTCAGTAAGACAGGGATCTGGAAATAATGCTCCTACTTCCAATTAGTTAGGCTGGCAGTGACATTTTGACAATCTTAAGGGAATGCTCCTAATACCCAAGACCGCACACTTAAATCATAATGTACACACACACCCTCATTTGGTAAGTTAAAAAGACATAAAGTCACCTCTGGTTTGTGTCCATAGAGACAATGACGCAATCTGAAGGTTTCTCTCGATCCCATGTTTTCTGGAGTGTTTGGTAGAAGTGCTGGAAAAGCGCCTCTCTCTGAGCATCCCTGCCATTGGCGAGATCTGAAAAACAGGTGCACTGGGGCTTCCGCATGACCGAATCTCCATCATGCAGGGCGGCCTTACAAAAGTAAAGCTCAGTACTTCCACAACAGTCAGCACACTGTAAACAGTCTTGACAGAATTCTTACCTAGCTGAAAGTCCTGGCATTGCTCAATGTAATCTTCATTCCTTTTTAAATAATCAACCACATTCCCTCGTAACTCTTCAGTACTGCTGGAAATATGAAAATATTTTCTCAAATTTTGCAGATATGTTTTCCCTCTGAACACGCCCCCACAACATAAAAACCCAACCCAGATCACCCAGTGCAAGCTGTAGTCACCCAAGACAGCGACTGCTTAGAAATGTTACCCAATGCCGGTGGTGGTGCAAGCCTTTAATCTTAGTACTCGAGGCAGAGGCAGGAGTATTTCTGTGAGTTCAAGGCCAGCCTGGTCTACAGAGTGAGTTTCAGGACAGGCTCCAAAGCCACAGAGAAACCCTGTCTCGAACCACCCCACAAAAGAAATTCTACCTAATAATCTATTCTCATTTTAGAGCATTATGTGAATCTAAGAGTTTCTGCCATTTCTCATTCATTTCTTCTCATATGCTACAATAAAAAGTGCTAAATGGAGTCACTATCCTTGTTAAATAAGATGCAAATCACAAAACAACCAGACTGACTCATGCTTACAGCATTCAGTCTGAAGGAAAGGAAATGCTTTTATAAAAATGTTCACCTGTGAAAAAAGGTGCTCACTTCTATACTTATAAGGGTCTTTGTTAAATACAGGCAAACACGACGCCTTGAGCTTAGCTCCCACACTCCTAAGTACTCCTCGGCTCCCTTGAGCAAGTTATGTTCCCTTGTTAAAAGCGTGCAAAATAGTGCACAGATGCTGGTTAATCTATTAACCATCCAAAGTGCTCCCGTTCGCTGTGATTTAACAGAGGAAACGGGGAATTGGATGCACTCTGTACCCTAAATCAGGCACTTTTATTGCAGCTCCCCAGTATCTAGATAGCAATGTTTTTGTCCACAAGGAACATCCTGCCAGGGAGAGAAGTCTCAGCAGGCAGCAATTAGCTGCACTCCCACAAGAGGCCTCACCCACAAGGCAGAGCGGCACTGGATACACTCTGTCAAACTGACTGCCCTGTGCACTGCCCACAAGCATCAATCCCAGGCTTCTCCTCTTGGGCTTTGGGTTAGGCTCGTCTCATCTACCCTCACAGTAGACACAACTGTGTCTGAGTCTGAGACTCGCCCTGCTTCCTGGAGGATGCTGCACTCCACACAGTAGACATAACTGTGTGTCTGAGTCTGAGACTCGCCCTGCTTCCTGGAGGATGCTGCACTCCACACAGTAGACACAACTGTGTCTGAGTCTGAGACTCGCCCTGCTTCCTGGAGGATGCTGCACTCCACACAGTAGACACAACTGTGTCTGAGTCTGAGACTCGCCCTGCTTCCTGGAGGATGCTGCACTCCACACAGCAGACACAACTGTGTCTGAGTCTGAGACTCGCCCTGCTTCCTGGAGGATGCTGCACTCCACACAGTAGACACAACTGTGTCTGAGTCTGAGACTCGCCCTGCTTCCTGGAGGATGCTGCACTCCACACAGTAGACATAACTGTGTGTCTGAGTCTGAGACTCGCCCTGCTTCCTGGAGGATGCTGCACTCCACACAGTAGACATAACTGTGTGTCTGAGTCTGAGACTCGCCCTGCTTCCTGGAGGATGCTGCACTCCACACAGTATCCCCTCCTCCTCACCTGCTGCAGCTTTGTCTGCTGCCTGCACTGAGTCCAGTTATCCCAAGTTACCAGCTTTCTTTAACCCTGGCTGTATTTGCTCTCCCTAGCTTTCCCTCAATCTTTGTATTCCCCCTCTCTCTCCTTCTCTTTTTCCTTTTTCCCCTCTGTTCCTTCCTTCTTCTTGGGAGAGGTATTGTCAAACCCAGGGCCCCACGCATACCAGACAAATACTCTACCAGAGTTACACCCATAGCCCTATATGCCTTCTAATAATAAAGTAGAAAGTAAATTTCCTTGCTCCCAACCAAGGAAATAGAGGAGATTGCAAGGTGTCCCAGAAGGTGCTGCCTACACCTGGGCAGTCTGGGGCAAGCAGCAGAAGATGTGTACCACTGCCTAGGCTCCGCTGCTTGACTTTCTAGCAGAAAAAGAGTTTATCCTCAGCTGTCTCAGGCTCCTTACTTCTGATTGGCTGGTTGTCCAGTTGTTTTGAGGAAGGGTCTTACACTGGTCTCTAAAGTACTCTGTAGCTAAGGATGGCCTCAACAGATCTCCCTTCATGCCCTATGGGCTGGGGTTAGAGGTATGCTCCTACACCAGCAGCTAAGTTCCTCCCTTCTAAAATGGAAACTATTAACAGTGCCTGTCCAGGAACTCCAGGAGCTGACATGGCAAAGCCCAGAGAATGGAGCCTGAGGCAGAGTGAGCCCGCAAGGGAAGCTGACCACTGTTATCCACTCCTGCCTCTAGACTCCTTCCAGAGCAGACCAGAAATGCTCTCCTTCAGAAGGTAACCTAACAGCGCAGGCATTCTAGATCTCTTTCAGGAAATGGTGCCTGAGAGAAACTAACCCCTATTAACAGGCATTCCTGAATTCTATATTTCCAAGCTCTCCTGAATTCTATATTTCCAAGCACTTCTGCACTTGAGGAAGCATTTTTCAATTTTGAATTATTAATTTAATATGTCACAAAACTCATCTCTAATGGAGGCAAAAGGGAGGTCTTGTCAAAGTTCATACACATAAAAATCAATTCAAATACAATGTAAGGAAACCTGTTTTTACCAAAACTACACAGAAGGCTCCAAGGTGAGCAGCCAGAAAGGCTACGCTGACTCACCTGCTTAGAGGCACTCCCTGCTGAATACAGAGGAGGGAAGGAGGGGACAGAAGAAGGGCCTTGAGAGTGGGGTGCACATGCTGCAGGGCAATAACCATGAGTCACTAAAGGGAACGAGAGGACAAGGCACCCTGCCCTAGCTACAGCTACTTGAGGCTCACACAGGAGGATCACTTGAGCCCAACACTTCAAGGCCAACCTAGGAAACAAAGCGAAATGTTGTTTAAGGCCAGACATGGTGGTGCATGCCTTTAATCCCAGCATTTGAGAGGCAGAGGCAGGCAGACCTCTGAGAGCATGAGGCCAGCCTGGTTTATGCACAGCTGGGGTTATGGAGAGACCCCGCTTCAAACAAAGGCAGACCCAAAAACCTGGAACAGTCTAACCAAAAGATCTCACTTTAATATCATATGCTTTTGTATGTCTATCCGTTCCTCGGTTTAAAAAAATAACTATCATTCTTATGTGTACAGTGTGCATATGTGATGCCCACAGAGGCCAGCAGAGAGTTGGGAATGGAGTTAGAGATAGTAGTGAGAAATGATGTGGGTACTAGAAATCAAACCTGGGTCCCTTCTGGAAGAGTGCCAGTGTTCTTAACTGCTGGCTTAACTCTTTAACCCCATTTTTTTTTCAAGTTTGCTTTTTTTGGCTTTGTTTTTTTTTTTTGACACAGGGTTTCTCTGTAGCTTTGGAGCCTGTCCTGGAACTCACTCTATAGACCAGGCTGGCATCGAACTCACGGAGATCCGACTGCCTCTGCCTCCTGAGTGCTGGGATTAAAAGTGTGCACCACCACTGCTCAGCTTCCAACCCAATTTCTAAAACCAACTGACATTTATTTTTGCCTCTGAAGTACTAATTTGTCTTGCAGTGAAATAAATTATCTTTTTTGAGCATGTAACAGCAATTAGACAGTAGCAGAAAGTCACAAATAGAAGAGTCACAGGCCACCCAGAGATGGCTGAAAACTACCACACAGACCTGGTGACTGAGGCCCTTCTGGCCAGGGGTACACTGCAGTTAAGAGTCCAAATGACTATGGAGAGGTAAAAGTTAAAGTAGAGTGGTTAATATGATCAACTTGACCCAAGGGACTTCCCAAAAGCAAATATTAATAGCACCAATTTCAGCGAACATCTAGATCCGCACAGTAAGAACACATTTGCATTACTACCTAAGCTTTTAGCAAATTGAGCCACAACAATAAAACCTCACCTCAGCCTGTCTTCACACTCCTTTAAGTAGCCCTCTTGGGGAGAATGAGAAGTTGGCAGAAAAGGTTTAGATGGCTTACTGCTAAAAAACAACAAAGACAAATTACACTCAAGAAGAAATTATTTCCCATAGTTCATACATTAGTTTCCACAGTTCTGGTACACTCAGAGGTGATTAAGTCTTCAGTAAAACTGGATTTCAAAAACTTGAACAATGGCTTTTTTCAAGAATCTCTTTTGTCAGAAGCTCTACTCTATTCCTTAATACCTGTTTCTATTTTTGCTCAGTGTGTTTGTTCAACTGCTTCTGCAAAGTTGGCAACTGAATGTGTAGCTCTGACAGAGAAAAGACCACTACAACTCACCCACAGAAGGGCTTCAGCTCAAGTCTGAGCTGCCCAAGTGGACAAATCTGCAAGTCTACATGCAATGCCAGAAGTCTCTGCAATTATCAATTCTAGAAACAAGCACCACTGGTTTTGTTTTAAGCTTCTTTCTGATGGCTGCTCCACCAGCACTATCAAATTTCCAAGGATTCACTGCCACCTGGATCATACCTGACACTCACTTCATAATGCAGCTCCTGGCTGCGTGCTCCAACTCCAGTGTGAACCACCTCCTCTAAAGCCGCCGTACAGTCACATTCCAAATACACTCTGACACACACAGCCACCATCTGCCTCATTTAAGAGATGTGGTACTAATATGGATTGAAACCTAAGACAAAAAGGGCCAAACCTTAGGAGACGATGCTTGCTGTAAGTTGCTAGCTAAGAGAACCAAGGGTTTTGACAAGAAGATTACAAATGTGGACTGAGAGGGTTAAAGAGTTAGTAGAAAACATTCCCTTCCCCAAAAGGATGGGCGCAGATGCTCCACTCGACCCTCTTCTCAATGATCCTAGCCAAGTTTGAAGGCCACGAAAAGGAATAAGCAGATGGTTCAATGTGAGCAAGTCAAAAGGAAGTTGCATTTGCCTTATTCGGCTTCCTAGCAACTAAACCAAATGATGCCAAAAAAGCCAGCCGGCTCTAAGGAGCAGCACTGCAGGGTATTGGAAACCCAGCGGTCGGGCAGAGCAGAGAAAGCCTTAAGACACCCCCTCCTGGCAAAACAAATCCTTTGCCCACTAATACCCTCCCTTCCCTGTAACTCCAGCTCAGTCTACCTGCCCGTGCTGAGGGCAACCTTTCAAACTCCACTGACATCAGCAGAGCAGACTGGCACTACTTTCAAAAACTTAACTCGCTACTTGTGCATTGGAGGAAAGGCTCCATACCCTCTCAGCACACTTCAGCCAGCTGGACACAGGATTCTGCAGGCCAAAAAGACAGCATCCTTGCCACCCATGGTCACACGCTGCCGAGAAACTCGGGCGGTGTTCACAGGCCATGATCCCAGAAGCCTAAGAGCAACCCTACAGGAGACAGGGTGTGCTCCAATCTTCTTAAAAACAGACTGAGTAGCCAGGGAGCAGACCAGAGGCTTCCCTGAACAGGCTGAACTGCCTTGGTGAGAGTACCTACGCGGACACATGCCATATCCCCATATGTGCAAAAGATCAAACCACGTCCTGGATATTATTTAACAGTGCATGGTCACCCTGACCAGGCAATGCAGTGTAACTAGTTAATATCCATTAAAACCTCAGTTCCAGCTGGGCGTTAGTGGCCCATGCCTTTAATCCCAGCACTCGGGAGGCAGAGGCAGGCGGATCTCTGTGAGTTCGAGACCAGCCTGGTCTACAGAGCGAGTTCCAGGACAGCCTCCAAAACAATACAGAGAAACCCTGTCTCGAAAAAACAAACAAAAACAAAAAAAACCAAACAAAAAAACCTCAGTTCCTTTCAGTCAGTGATGGGTAATAAGTCAAATACTGTTCAACAATAAGCAGAACTAATAAATCTGTTTTAATAAATAAATAAATCCTCCCAGATGTTCAATAAACAAAGATGTTTCGGTGTATTATATCGAATCCTTGTAACCACCACACAAGCTTCAGCTTGCACACACACTGACAAGGCAAGACAAGGAAAGTAAGGCTCGTCTTGCAGGATTCCACACAGCTACAAAGCCTAGGTTCAATTCCCCATGGGTCAGACTCTAAAACTCTGACTTCGTTAACCAAGTCTTGAAAATGCATTGTTTGTGTGTGTGCATGAGACATCACGAGTGCATCTGTGTCACCACAGACATGTGGAGGTCGGAGGCTAATTCTCTGGAGTTGGTTCTCAATGGCTGCTGCTCTGCTTACTCCATGTTAACTGGTCTTCAGGCTCCTGGCTAATGCTCTCATCTCCACCTCCCATACTGCCACAGGAATGCTAAGATTACAGACACACAGGCCACCGCACTCAGCTTTTCTCACATGGATTCTGGGGTTAAATTCAGGTCATAAGGCTCACACAGCAAATGCTTTTACCCACCGATACACGGCAATAACATTCCCCATCCCAACTTCTTTTAATACCTCTCCAGCCCAGTACTCCAAGTCAGCAAGTTGTTTTTGGTTTGGTTTTGTATAAAGGAAAGGGAAAACTATGAAAGGCCAAGGAAGAGGGGTGAAAACACTGTCATTTTAAGTTTTTATGAAAAGTAAACTAAAATAATAATAATAACAATAACAACAACAACAATAATGATAATAATAATAAAATCCTAATCTAAGGGCCTGAGAGATGAGGGAGGCTCCACAGGGCACTGTGCTTGTCTGACCTCTCTTAGCCAAGGGATACCAAGTAGGAGCCTTTGGTCTAAGAGCAACTTAAGACTGGATATGAGTGGGGAAGAGACAGAACTCTCACTGTAGGTAGGCAAACAGAAGACTTTCCTCAGAAGGTAGCTTGACAGTTTCTTAAAAAGTATAATAGGAGCTGGAGAAATGGCTCAAACAGTAGAATGCTTGCTGCACAGCCATGGGGCTGACTTCAGTCCCTAGCACTTCTGGGGTTTGTTTTTGAAAGCACTGTTTAAAAGGGGGGGGGGGGCAGATGGAGAGGCGGCTCAATGGTTAACAACACATACTGCTCTTGTAGAAGATGCAGAGTTGGATTTCCAACCCCCTCTTCTGGACTCCATGGGCACCCGACTCACATGTGTACATTCCCACACACAGACATAAACATTTAACTAAACTTAAAATAAGTCTTCATTTAAACAAACAAATACCCCCTACCCCACAAAAAAAAAAAGAGAGCAAAAGCAAAATAGCACAGCTGAGCAGGGCAGCATGCATCTGTCATCTCAGTGCTGAGGAGCAGCGACAGTAGCATCCTTAGGGCGTGCGGGCCATCCAATCCAGCTGACTTGGCAAAACACCCTGTCTCAAAAAATAAGGCAGAGAGTGACACCCAACACTGACATCTGGTCTCCGTACATGTACACACACACACAAAGTAAAACATATATTCATCATATAAGCTAGTCAGTCCACTACTAGAAACTTACACCATAAAAATGCTTATTTCCTTACTATAATGAAATAGCTATGGCTGTTTTTACTTCATAGGTATAAAGGCTTCACATACAAACAGTTAGTTCCATCTAGATCACAGGGCCAAACAGGAAGCCGTGCTCCAGGACAGAGCTCTTCTAGAGGCAGTGTCCTCAAAGGCTAACAGCCCCCCACTAGTCATGATCTCTCGAGCAGCTACCTCCCAACACCACCACATTAAGGAATCAAGCTTTTGGGGACACACACTCAAACCACAGCAGACATATCTACCTGTGCAGACTACACATGCACTCTATCTACTGTTCCCAGGGACCTTGTGTAAAAAGCAACTGGAAACCAACCAACAAGCTGCCACACAGCCATGCCTTCACTGAGCTGCTGCAACCAACACCAGAGACCATGTGGCTTAAAGGACAGAGTTCTAGCCGGGTGGCGGTGGTGGCGCACGCCTTTAATCCCGACACTTGAGAGGCAGAGGCAGGCGGATCTCTGTGAATTCGAGGCTACTCCGGTCGACAAAGTGAGTTCCAGGACAGCTAGGACTGTTACACAGAGAAACCCTGTCTCAAAAAAATCAAGAATCAGGGCTGGAGAGATGGCTCAGAGGTTAAGAGCACAGAGCTCCTGAGTTCAATTCCCAGCAACCACATGATGGCTCACAACCATTTGTAATAAGATCTGGTGCCCTCTTCTGGCCTGTAGGGATACATTCAGATAAAACACTACATACACAATAAATACATAAATCTTAAAAAAAATCAAGAATCAATTTTATTTCTTAGGGTTCTGGTGGGAAGCCCAAGGTCAAGATAGTCCACTGCAGGTCTCTCCCTGACTTAGAGAAAACTGCCTTTCAGAAATCTCTTTCTTCTTATAAGGCAATCAACCAATCCAACAGGATCAGAGCACACACCTCTGGCATCATTCAACCTTAATTACCTACGACATATTCTGTCTAAAATATAATAAGCAGCTGGGATTAAGAGCTTCAATGTATGGACACACCTTGTATACATATCCACTGCTCAGGTGCAGACTACACCAAACAGAAGAATAGAGACCTCCCCCCTTCCCCCGCTAGATCAAGGGCCATTCTATCTTCTTAAATCCAGCCCCCAACTCCGACAGAGATTCCCTGCTGGACCAGAGGTCATGCTGGATGACAGAAATACAGACCACAAAGACCAGAAGACCAAGGAACAGCCATCATCCAACAAACACAAACTCAGAAATCAATATAGACCTATATTCATCCCAAATGCAGATGCCTAGACACCAGCATAAGAACACAATCAACAACAGTCAGGGCAATATGGCACTACCAGAGCCCAGCTATTCTATTACAGCTGAAGCATAAGAAAATGACCTTAAAACCAACTTTACGAAGATAAAAGAGGTTCTTTATTATTATTATTATTATTATGATGATGATGATGATGATGATGATGATGCAAACAGTATTCTGCCTGCATATCTGCAGGCCAGAAGAGGGCACCAGATCTCATTACAGATGGTTGTGAGCCACCATGTGGTTGCTGGGAATTGAACTCAGGACCTTTGGAAGAGCAGTTAGTGCTCTTAACCTCTGAGCCATCTCTCCAGCCCCCGATAGAGGTTCTTTTTTTTTT